CCGCTAAAGTCTGGACGCCGAGAAGAAGACAGCACATTTTCTGTCAGCTGTTGGGAAGGAAGCTTATGCGCTGATTAAAAATTTGGCATTTCTAGGGTCACCAATACAACTGAAGTATGAAGAACTCAAGGATCTGTTACTAAAACACTTCCAGCCAGTCAACTTCGAAGCAACTGAGCGAGCGAAATTCCATTGCCTTGCTCGTGATCCTAATCAGTCTGTCCGAGACTTCATTCTTCAGTTGCAGACTCAGGCTGCACGCTGTAATTTCAAAGATCAGCATCAAACTCAGCTCCGTGATAGACTTATTCCTAGAATTCACTGTTCTGAGCTACAGCAGCAGTTATTGTTGATTCCAAACTGTACATTTCAAACCGCAAAGATGGTCTGTGATCAATATCAGAATGTACGTGCGGCCGTACGTGAGGAGCCGAAAGTATTATTCGGTCACAATCGTGGGTCAGCGCTTGAAGCTCAACAGACGCGGCAGTTCAAAAATGTCAACAAAGCTGGTAATTACAGTCCGACGTCCACACAATCTGCAAATAATAACATCCGCCACTGGAACCCTTGCAAATCATGCGGTAGGCGACACTCTCGACTGACTTGTAAATTTCGCAATGCCAAGTGCCACAAGTGTGGTAAGTCCGGGCACCTCCAGTCTGTTTGTCGAAGCACACATAACTGTTTGGCACAGAACTTAGTCCCTGATTCATGCTTGTCTACCGACTTCCAGTCTCTTGCTCTATCCGTTAACAGTTCCAATCAGTCTCAACACATTACACGTACATTCACACTCAATCATTGTTTTCGGCATTCATTCATCATAGACACAGGCAGTGTGAATTCGTTTATTTCAAAGACAGTTCTTCAACGTTTGAAACCACGTGTGTACCTAAACACCATGGACATTTCGGTTAAAGGTATAACTGATCATAATCTTCCTGATTTGGGTTCGTATGAACTACTCCTTACTGATGATGAACAGCACGCATTCAATTGTTTCTTTCTTTTTATTGATTCCAACATTTCCATTATTGACCTCGATTCTATGAAATGCATGGAAATTTCTCTTTCATTTTTCGCTGATGATCAACAGTTTCGACTACGTCAGTTGGTTCTTAAATGCTCCAACAATAAGGGTGGAATTAAAATGG